GATAAATAAGACTGACATATTTCGTCCTGTGGCATACTTCACCATAAGGTTTCTGAGGCTTTAAGTCTTTGCTGGAGCAGAAAAACTCTTTTTTTGTTTTTTTTTTTTTGTATCAGTGACAGAGTGTTTGTTTAAAGATGTGCATTCATGAGAAGGTAAAGCAAATTGATTTCACATGGGAAGTGAAGACAATTGACGATTTAAAAAAAAATAGTCATCTTTTTTGGTCTTCAAGTAGGTGGTTTCATTAACTACTTTCCGTTAATTATCCTAGAATTATGTAGACTGTGTAGTGAAATAGCCACTCTAGCTTTCTTGTGATAGCTGTGCAGTATATCTTTTTTTCTACCCTTTTCCTTAACACCTGATAGCCCTAAAATAGCTTGATTATGGAATGGTTAGCTTAACTATAAGGAGCTCTGGTAGCATAGTGGTTATGAGTTGGGCTGCGAACCTCAAGGTCAGCAGTTCCAAACTACCAGTGGTTCCGCGGGAGAAAGATGAGGCGTTCTGCTCCTGTAAAGATTTGCAGCCTCGGAAACCCTGTGCAGGGTCACTATGAGTCGGAACCTTCTCCACAGTACTTAACAACAACAGCTTAACTATACAACATTTTCTTTATTACTGTTTATCTTGATTTTAAAAATTAGAGATAGTAGAATAAATGTAACCTTTTTGTGGTTATAACTGACTCTAAAATAAAGGTTATTTAACTGCTAAAAAAAGTAAGGATGGCCAAGGGAGAAGAGTACAATGGGGTGCAGGATCCTATCCAGAGAAGCACCGACACCAAAGATGGAGGCAGAGATGAGGACATGGAGAGATAGAGCAGCTGAGGACTGAGGACTCTGGACTCATGGAATGAGAGGGACTCGGTACTGGCAGCCAGGAGGCAAGCTTATGGAACGTGCTCTTTGGTTGTTTAAATTATTATATATTCCTGAGTGTTTCTGTGTACACCCCACACACACAAAAAAAAAGGGAATGGAAGCAAATACTGTTTAATGATGATGCACGGATGAGATTGTAATCATTGCAATGAAACGATGGTGTAAAGCATTTTAATTTCTATATTGATTTTTGTTTCACTTAAAAAAGTTTTTTTTCTTTAGAGATTGCTTTAGGACTTAGTTATATACATTTTAATTTACTGTTATTAACTTCAGATTTATACTAACCTAATTCCAACAACAGTGGCTAAAACATTGCAAATAATGCGGATGTTGCATGACCGGCAATGTTTTGTTCTGTTGCTCAGCATTGGTCTGTTCTGTGTTGCTATGATTTGAAACCTACTGGACAGCACCTAACAACAACAGTGCTCTCGTTGTTGTTGTTAAGTGCCGTCGAGTCGGTTCCGACCCATAGCGACCCTGTACAGGGTTTCCAAGGGTGTAAATCTTTACGGGAGTAGAAAGCCTCATCTTTCTCCCGCGGAGCGGCTGATAGTTTCGAACCGCTGACCTTAAGGTTCTCAGTCCGATTTGTAACCACTACGCAATGCTTTTGGGTTAGTGATTTATTTTTCAATTGGGTTATTTGTCTTTTTCTTGTAGAGGTGGTGTGTTGTTGTTGTTGTGTGCTGTGGAGTTGGTTCTGACTCATAGTGACCCTGTAGGGGGTTTCTGAGGCTGTAAATCTTTACGGGAGCAGAATGCCTCATCATTCTCCCGTGGAACAGCTGGTAGTTTTGAACTGCTGACCTGTAGTTTCCTATATATTTTAGAAATGAGTCCATTGTCTGATGTGTCATTTCAAAATATTTTTTCCTGTTCTGTGGGTTTCCTTTTTAGTATTCTGGTGAAATCTTTTGATGCACATACGTTTTTAATTGTTGGTATTATTTATCTATTTTCTCTACTGTTGTTTGTATAGTTCTCAAAATGTTTGGTGGTCTGTGTATACCCTGGATTAGAGCCCTCAAACATTTGTCCCTATGTTTTCATTGATCGCCTTCATAATTTTGGGATTCACATTTAGGTCTTTAATCCATGCTGAGTTGGTTTTTGTATAAGGCGTGAAGTAAAGGTCTTGTTTCAGTCTTTTGCATATCGCTTTCCAGTTCTGCCAGCACCATCTGTTCAAAAGACTATCCCCTCCCCATGTGATATGTTTAGGTACTTTTGTCAAAAATCAGTTGGCTGTATGTGGATGGGTTAATTTCTGGATTCTCGATTCTATTCCACTGATCAATGTATCTTTCATTATACCAGTGCAAGCTGTTTTGACCACTGTAGCCACGTAATAAAATTTGAAGTTGGGGAATAAGAGGTTTCCAACCTTATTATTCTTCTTAAGCAGTGCTTTGCTTATCCTGGGTATCTTTCCTTTCCATATAAAGTTTGTAATTGTTTTTTCCATCTCTATGAATAATGTCATTGGAATCTGGATTGGGATTGCATTATATGTGTAAATTGCTTTGGGCAGTATTGACATTTTCACCATATTAGTCTTCCTATTCAGGAGCATGGTACATTCTTTCTATTTTTGTAGGTCTTTTTTGGTTTCTTGTAGTAGTGTTTTGTAGTTTTCTTTGTATAGGTCCTTTGTTTCTCTGGTTACATTTATTCCTAGATATTTCATCCTTTGGGCGGCTATTGTAAATGGCATTGCTTTCCTAATGTCCTTTTCAATGCTGTCATTTTTGGTATAGAGAAATCCAACCGATTTTTTTATGTTGAGCTTATATCTTGCCACTTTGCTGAATCTTCCAATGAGGTCTAGTAGCTTTTTTACTGAGTCTTTGGGGTTTTCTATGTATAAGATTATATCGTCTGCAAATAGAGAGTTTTACTTCATCTTTACCAATTTGGATGCCATTAATTTCCCTCTCTTGCTATATAGCTCTTGCTAAGACTCCCAGGACAATATTGAATAAGAGTGGCGACAAAGGGCATCCTTGTCTGCTTCCTGTTCGCAGAGTGAAGGCTCTCGGTTTCTCTCCATTGAGAGTAATAGTAATGTAGGTTGTTGGTTTTGAATATATGCTCTTAATTATATTGAGGAATTTCCCTTCAATTCCTATTTTGTTGTGTGTTTTGGATGTCGGATTTTGTCAAATGCCTTTTCTGCAATAATTGATATCATTATGTGGTTCTTTTCTTTTTCCTTATTTATATGGTGGATAACTTTGATCGTTTTTCTAATGTTGAACCATCCTTGCATCCCTGATGTGAATCCCTCTTGATCATGATGAATTATCTTTTTAATGTGCTGCTGGATTCTGTTGGTTAGGATTTTGTTGAGAATTTTTGGATCTAAGTTCATGAGGGATATTGGTCTATAATTTTCTTAGTGACGTCTTTCCCTGGTTTTGGTTTGAGGGTTATGCTTGCTTCATAAAATGTATTAGGAAGTTTTCCATCGTCCTCTATCTTCTGGAATAATTTGAGTAGAATTGGTGACAGCTCTTCCCTGAATGTTTGGTAGAACTCAGTGAAGCCATCTGGACCTGGACCTCTTTTGGTTGCAAGTTTTTTGATGACCGGATCAATTTCTTCTTTTGTTATGGGTCTGTTCAGGTTTTCTACTTCAATCTGTATAAGTTTAGGTAGGTCGTGTTTTTCTAAAAATGTATCCATCTCTTCTAAGTTTTCAAATTTGTTGGAGTACAACTCTTCATCATAGTATTCTGTTATTATCCTTTTGATTTCCTTTGGTTCTGTTGTGACATCACCCTTGTGGTTTCTAATGTGTGTTATTTGTGTCTTCTCCCTCTTTTCTTTTGTTGGGTTTGCCAATGGTTTGTCAATTTTGTTAATCCTTTCAAAGAACCAGCTTCTTGTCCTGGTGATTCTTTCTATCGTTTTTCTGTTTACTGTCTCATTTATTTCTGCTCTAATCTTTATTATTTCTTTTCTTTTGGTGACTGTAGGTTCCCTCTGTTGGTCTGTTTCTAATTGTTGTAGATGCAGTGTTAATGTGTTAATTTTGGTTCTCTCTTCTTTTTGGATGTGTGCATTTATTGCAATAAATTTTCATCTCAGCACTGCTTTCACCATGTACCAGATTTTGGGATGTTGTATTTGCGTTCTCATTTGTTTCTTAGGAACTTTGTGAGTTCAAATTTAATTTCTTCTACTACCCAGTTACTTTTCAGCAGGGTGTTATTCAGTTTCCATGTATTTGACTTTATTTCCTTCATCTTCCTATTGTTGAATTCTAATTTGATAGCATTGTGATCTGAGAATGTGCTTTGTTGTATTTTGATATTTGTGAATTTATGGAGGTTTGTTTTGTGTCCTAAGACATGGTCTATTCTGGAGAATGTTCCATGTGCACTGGAAAAAGAATGTGTATTGTGCTATTGTTGGATTGAATATATTCCTTTTATTTTAAGAATTCTTATTTAATAGAAATATTATGTATTTTTAGACATCTAATAGTGTTAAAAATACCTATGTTTACTAAGATTTTGTTTAGCACTTTTACTCTTATTCAAGCCTTATCTTGACATTTATGTTCTGATTTAAATATTAGTTTATCAGTTTCCTATGGACTACTCTAAGGGTTGTAAAATTTCCGTGGCCTGTGTCTGTGAAGTTATTTTCCCGTTCATGAGAAGTGGACTGGGTATAGGATTCCTGAATAATACTGCTAATGGTCAGATAGGTATCATCATCTGTCACTGTCTCGGTAAGCAGGTGAGAAGTTTGATGATGAATTTATTCTCTTACTTTTATGATGAACCTCTTTTCCTCTGAAGCTTTTAAAAGATTTTGTCTTTGTGCTTGGTGTTCACAATATTATAAGGTGGTGCCTAGCTGTCACTTTTCTGATAATCTGCATATATATAATTAGACATGTTAATTGAAAATCAGTTGTATTAAATTAGGAATCAGTTATTAATCCTATCATCCATAATATGTTGCTTTTCTTTTGCTGCTTTCAGGATTGTGTCTTTGCATATAAAAACTGTTGAATTGGTGTATATGTTGCTGTGCATAGTCTCATCAACAACAACAAAAAGATTATGTTTTTGTTTTTTACTTTCAACTGTTTGATTATCATTTGTTCAGGTGTATATCTCTTACTCCAAGTTTACCCTTTCTGAAATTTGTTGAACTTCTTGGGTTTGTAGATTTATTTGGTTGGTTGGTTATGTGCCGTAGAGTTGGTTTTGACTCATCGTGACCCTGTAAAGTGTTTCCGAGACTGTGAATCTTTACAGGAGCAGAAAGCCTCATCTTTCTCCCACACAACCACTGGTAGTTTCAAACTACTGACCTTGAGATTAGCAGTCTAACTCGTAACCACTATGCTACCAGAACTCCTCATATATTTATTGTTGTTGTTGTTGTTAAGTGCTGTCAAGTGGGTTCTGACCCATAGCGATCCTGTACAGGGTTTCCGAGGCTGTAAATCTTTACGAGAGCAGAAAGCCTCATTTTTCTCCTGCGAAGTGGCTGGTAGTTTCGAACTGCTGACCTTAAGGTTCGCGGCCTGATTCGTATTGCTACTGAGATTCCAGTCCATACATTCATGAGTTTATTCTAAGTAAAACATTTTTAAGCATGTCTTTGATTAGTGGATGGCTGCAGACAAGCAGACAAGTTCTCTCAGAAATACACTTGTCTTACTCTTATTAGTATGCCTTAAAAAAATGCTGAAAAGGTTCAATTAAAACTGTGGTTTCTGAGAGAACCCACTGGACTAGTTAAATCCAAAGCAGAGAAGTTTAGCTTAGAAAGTTATGACAACTGTTTTTTGGGATTCACAAGGGATAATTTTGATAGATTTTCTCATAGGACACAGGGTAATCACAGGGGCTTACTAATATTAATGAAGAAGTTTTAAGAAAATTGAAAACTGCATTGGTAAAAAAAAAAAAAAAAAAAGGCCAGCAAAGTTACACGGAATTTTCCTCCCATCATTCTTTGAGTGTAAGAAGAGCTGTCCTCTAAGAATTTCATTGGAAAACCTGACCCCATTCAATCTACAACTTTGATCTTGTCCCTTCACACTTTTTGTTCCCAGACACAAAGAACCTTTTAAAAGAACAGGATTTGAATCCTTCAAGGAAGCCAAACTACTGTTGTGACATGGTGTAAATTGAAGAGCATAGTCGTTTTAGGGAAAAGTTAGAGAGATGGAAACACCACCTTCAGAAGTGTGTAGACCCAGAAAGTAGAGTGTCACATTTTGATACTTTTTAAAAATAAATGTTTCTTTGATTTTGTAGTAGTATTCTTTGACTTACTCTCATCATGTTTTTCATCAAATTTATGAAATTATTGGCCATTCAGATATTTCTTAAATATTTTTTCTGATCTTTTCTATCTCTCCATGTAGAACCTGTTGCTAGATGTATATTAGTAGCTTGATGGTATCCCACAGGTCTCTGAAGTTCTGTTTGTTTACTCCCGTATTTTTTTTTCTTGCTGATTTTCAAACTGTATAATCTCATTTGACATGGTGTTCAGCTTGCTCATTCTTTCTTCTACCTGCTGCTAAGACTTTGTTCTTCTCAAGCAGTGCTTTGCTTATCCTGTAGATTGTACTCTTGACATTTTCACAGTGTTAGATCTTCCCCTTCCATGAGCATGGTATGTCCTTTTTTTTTACTTCGTTGAACATTTTTTTTTTGGTCAAATTTATTTTCATCAACTTTTAGAAAAGACAAATGCATCAGTTTTCAACATAATCTCCTTGCTTTTCAATACACTTGGTCTGTCTGTCAACATGCTTTCGTATTCTCTCATTTAAAAATGTTTTAGGCTGAGCTGTGAGCCACAAATGTACTGCTGTCTTCACTTCTTCATCAGAGATGAATCTTCATCCTTGAAGGGCTGCTTTCAGGGGACCAAACAGGTAAAAGTCCAATGGAGCAAGATCAAGACTATAGTTGAGGGTGCTTTAACACCTCAAAATGAAACTTTGTAAAGTGTCAACAGTGTGGACAGAGGTGCAGATGTGTATCGTCATGAAAGATCACAAAGCTCTTGGATAGCAGTCCTCTGCATTTAATCCAAAGTTTAGGCTTTAGCTTTTCAGTGAGCATCTTACTGCAATAAACACTATTGATTTTTGAACCTTTTCCCTAGTAGTATCCCAGTACTTGTTGTTAGGTACTGTCAAGTTGGTTCCCACCCATAGCGACCCTGTGTAGGGTTTACAAGGAGCAACTGGTGAGCCTTGTAGTTCAAACCAACTTTGCAGTCCATTGCATTAACCCACAGAGCTATACCAATTCCAGAAAACTGTCAATTTTCCAGTTGATGATTGACTTTTGAATTTTTTTCTTGGTTAATGATTGAGGATGTTTCCATTCCATACTCTCATTTAATCTCAAGCTCATAGTGGTGAATCGAAGTCTTGTCACCAGTAATGAATTTTTCTTTTTAAAAATGTGGGAGAAATGGAGGGAAAAAATGGATAACAAAATACTATGAAGAGTTGTACTCTAACAAATTTGAAAATCTAGAAGAAATGGATGAATTTTCAGAAAAATACAACCTACATAAACTAACATGGAGTGAAGTAGAAAACTTAAACAGACCTAGAACAAAAGAAATGGATCAGGTAATTTTAAAAAAACTTCCAACCAAAAAAAAAATTCAGGCTCCAATGACTTTACTGGTGAATTCTAACAAATATTCAAAGAAGACCTGAAACCAATTTTATTCAAATTGTTTTAGAACACAGAAAAGGATGGAAAACTGAATAAAACCCTACTCAAAAGCTTCTGGGTAACAGAACAAATGAAATCATAACATGCTAAAGCCTTTGGGACATAGCAAAAGCTATGCTTAGAGGGCAATTTATAGTGCACACATCCAAAAAGAAGAAAGAAGCCAAATCAACACATTAATACAATATCTTCAACAATTAGAAAAAGACCAGCAAAGTAAACCTGCCGCCAGGAAAAAAACAAATTAAAGATTAAAGCAGAAATAAATGAATTGGAAAAGAGGAAAACAATAGAAATAATCCACAAGACAAGAAAGTGGTTCTGTGATTGCAAACCACTGGCAAATCTAATAAAGGAAAAGATGCAAATAAAAATACATAAGAAACAATATGGGTAAAATCACAACTCTCTATGAGGTAGAACTGACTTAGTAGGACTTAGCAACAACTACAACAAAAACCTCTTTAACTAACTCAGTAATAACTCCAGCAAAATTTAAGAAAAAATTAGGGCCATGATAGGCATTCTTTATAATATTTTGTTTTAAGCTTTCAACAGTAAACATGAGATGAATTTCCAAAAGTATAGTTCATGTCTCTGTATCTGACTTATTAGACTGACTTGAATTAATGTTCCTACAGGCTTCAGTGTCGTTCATGGATGTGGCCGTGGAGCTTACCCAGGAGGAGTGGCAGCACATGGGCCCAGCTCAGAGGACCCTCTACAGAGACGTGATGCTGGAGAACTATAGCCACCTTGTCTCACTGGGTGAGCAGACCTTAGTATGTAACACCCTGTAGGAACCCTGGTGGTGCTAACTGGTACTAACAGGAAGGTTGCTGGTTCGAACCCACCAGCTACTGCACAGGAAAAAGATGAAGTCATCTGTAGCCTCGGTAACCCTATAAAGCAGTTCTACTCTGTTCTATAGGATTATTGTGCGTCACAATCAAATATATTTTTCTTTTAAATTGTCAAAACTCTTGGGTAAATTTATAGAGATTAATGTTCAAAGGCGCCCTCTTGATGCAGTGTGTTAAGTGTTGGGCTACTAACCATAAGGTCAGTGATTCAAACCCACCAGCTGTTCTACAGGAAGAAGATGAGATTGCCACTTCTTTAAAGATTTCTGTCTCGGAAACCCTGTGGAGCCTTTCTTCTCTGTCCTGTGGGTTGCGGTGAATCAGAATCCACTTGATAGCAGTGAATTTGAATTTGGCTTGGTTTGGTGGTGCATTGGTTAAGTGCTTGGTTGCTGCCCAAAAAGGTCAATGGTTTAAAGCCACCAGCAGCTCTGTGGGAGAAAGATGTGGCACTCTGCTTCTGTAAAGATTGCAGCCTTGAAAACCGTAAGACTCTTACTCTGACCTGTAGGGTCACTCTTCGGAAACCCTATACAGAGTTCCTATGCATTGGAACTGACTTAATGGCACTTAACAACAAAAAAATAGGGTTGTTGAAGTCCTGGTGTGGCACTGTAGGATAAGGACTGGCCTGCTAACTGTAAGGTCAGAATTTTAAACCCACCAGCCTCTTGGAAATCTTATACAGGGTTGCTATTAGAACTGACTCAACAGTACTTAGCAGGAATATAGGGATTGACTAGCACCTTTAGATTTTAATGTTGTTCAGGCTTTTAAGAGGTCTAAGATAATTGTAGTGGTTGTGCATTGGTCTGTTAAATGCAAGGCTAGTAGTTCGAATCTACCAGCTGGTCTGCAGAAGAAAGATGAGACTTTCTGCTCCTGTAAAGACTTGCAGCCTTGGAAACCTAATACAGAGTCACTATGAGTCAGAACCAACTTGATGAACCATGATCACCACCATCAGCACAACAGAAATAGTGATTGTGTTATTATCTTCCTGTTTTTGAAAACTTCATGTGAGTGCCTTTATTTGCTACTTCTGCTGTTGTATCTTTGTACACTTGAAAACCTCAACACGGTGGATCTGATCTGTATGTACCTCGTTGGTTCCTTTTATATAGGCTACTGCCTTACCAAACCTGAGATGATCTTTAAATTGGAGCAAGGAGAAGATCCCTGGTCCTTAGAGGAAGAATTTCCAGCCCAGTGCTACTCAGGTGAGCTCTGGACAGTGGCAGAAATAAACGTGGGGTAGTTAACCTTACAGGAGAACAACTTAGAAAAAGGCTTATTTTTTCTTTTTTTTTTTAAAGATGGCTTTATTAAGATATAATTCTGATACACGCAGTTCGCCAATCTAAAGTATGTAATTCAGTGCGTTTTAGTGTATTCACAGATATGTTCAACCATCACCTAATCAATTTGAGAAAATTTTTGTTACTTCTAAAAGAAACCTTTAGCCCTTTTAGCTATTCTCCACCCCACCCCCAACCCCCTAATCATCTTCAGCTCTATCTCTATAGATGTGCCTATCGGGAAATACTAGAATAAGTCAAAAAGTATTGCTTTAAAATCATAGAAGCATTTATTAAACAAAAATATTAAAACGTAAAGCTACTGTTTCTCGATATATTCTCTATCTAGATCTGTACTCTTTTCCTTTTTTTTAAACTGGAAAATTTCTCAAGAGATTTATTTATAACATAATACAGATGAAACCATTAATACAGGGAGACCTCTTGTAGGGTTGGATTTGTTTTTGTTTTTTTTAATACTTTATTGTGAATTATGGGATAGTCTACATAGGAGAACATTAGCTTCACATTGATCCCATTGTATATCGTTTCCTTGCCATGGTTACAGTCTCCTCCATG